TTGTCTTCCAATCCCATGAATTTATTGGCAGTTTAGTAATAGATACCTTTCTCTGCACCTTAATGGACATCAGTATCCACTCAAGACTGATTTCACACAGTTCAGTCAGGACGTTCCTACCTAGGCACTTTCTCCCTTAGTACACTGAATCTAGTTTTAAAATGAAGAGGTCATTGGAAGATACAAGTGTTCAGCTGCCAGCAGACTTCGGACACCAGCACGCCGGGGAGACTGGAAATGCCCAAGACTGGAAGGCAGAGGCACTTCAGCCATGCCAGGAATGGCAGGAACTGACTGCACATCTCACAGAATTAGAGACTGATTATTGGAGTGATGTTCTTCTATACACTGTGAATCAGAGAATGGTATTTCTGTCCACATGTAGCATACCCTTGCAAGAGTCTAACAGATAATCTGTGCCACTGATTACTTAGATCTGCTCTTGAAATAAATCATAAACATATTTTTCTAAGGGGAAGAGATGCTGCGAGTGTATAACTGGGCGTTAGCCATGGCTCCATGGTGGGCGCCTACTTGTGTCCTGTGGTCTATCTATAAGCACCAGGGTTAGCAATAGCTAGAAATATTCCAGAGGGCTGATCCTAAACATCACTACCAGGAATCTTATGGGCATCCCAGTCTGTCCTTTCTTCAAGCTGCTTCATGTTAACTGCTTGAACAGTCAGAACTATGAGGTAATTCGTTGGGTTTTATTTTCATTCTTTTCAGACTATGTGATATGAAATAGCATCATTTATATGGGTAAATACTGCAGACAGTGATTAGCAGCCTGTCCCTACATGCAGTAACAGAGGTAGTTATGGTATCCATAGTTCCCTGGGGGTTCCCAAGCTGCCAGATTGTGTTCTGGATAATGAATCTGTGGGGAATCGCATGACTGAAAAGCAGTGGCTTATTGTCAAAGAAGACTATTTCAGCAGGGTCTTCACAGATGTTACAGACCATATAAATATATGGTAGATTCCTAAAAATGACATGATTCCCCTGGGTACTGAAGGGAGATATTGATCTATAATGCTAGCATCTAACTTCAAGCCTCACAGGTGAAATGTCTGTTCCCTCTCCTACCTAATCTTGTACATTACCCATTCCTCATTCATATTCAAAACAAGAAAATCTTTAACCTTGTTAAATTTCCAGCAAAAATGGTCAGCTATCACTGATATTTATTTTTAACAAGGCTGTGAAATAAGAGGTGCCTAGAGACTTGGAAAATTACATCAGCTATTGATGGGAGTGGTGGTCAAGTGGGAAATCCATGGACTGGCTGACAGTCTCCTTCTGTTTACTGAGAAATGTAGAAATTAAGAATTTCACATATACTCTTGGGATCCTTTGAAGGAGTTACTTCTCTTTTTCTCCCTAACATCTTTTCTTTTGTTCTTACATGACATTACGTATTTCTAAGAAATAGAAAATGCTCCTACTGGGCATTTGGATCTTTGACTTTTCATATCACCATTTTTGTTCCTAGTACTCATGTGAGAATGAAAACCAGAGATCAGTAAGGTCAAAGCATGGGCTTGAGGAACCCCCTTGACAAACGTGGAGCCACAGGCTGTGGTGCCAGAGGTGACATGGAGCTCACAGCTACACAAGCCATGAACTGAGCCACTTCCCAGTCCCTTCCAGTGAGAAAGTACCAGGAGAAAATCAATTTCTTTCAGTTTTTGTTGACTCTACCATATCTACTTTCCTCTACAGACTGCTCTTCCCTCCCTTATGCTTTTGTACTTCTGCACATTAGAATATTAGGTCAAACACCCTCACTAAAAATTTTGCTGTACAATATTTCTGGTTTTCATCTTTTTGCTTGATTTTCTCCTCATCTACTGTAGACATCAATGGTAAAGTATTTTTCCCCTCAGATATTTGCCCTTTGATCATGCCAGTTTACTAGAAACATTATGTAAAATGGGGCTTCCCCAGTTGTTTATAAATGTTTACTGTGTCTTCAAAGGTATCAGGAAAACAAGGATCAGCTATTACTCTTGGAATTATTAACAATTATTATTATTTCCCCACTCACTGTACACTATGAATAATGTGTTACAGAGCCTTAGGGGGTCTGTGTTCTGGACAATGAGGAAAGTGTCACATAATGGGTTAATAGTCTTATAATCTTTTACATAAATTGCATGATTGTATTGTTTACCCTAATCGTGATGTTTTTGATACTTGTGGTTGAAGCAGAGGGAGGGATTATTTGCTGCTTGCTGTGGAAACGACTTGAAATTCAATCTGTAGGCTAATCTAATTATAGTGCAAATGATAATCAGGCTAGATGATGGGACTGTCTTCTATAAACTTAAACCTGAATGTACCTTATGTTGTCTAATTTTAGCAAGGTACAGTGACAGGGACTGCGTACTCTATTTTGCACAACAGTTTACTGAGATTTATATATATATATATATATATATATATATACACGTATAAAATTTATATAGATATATATACAGAAAAAATAAATACATATAAACCAGTGGAAACCAGTAGTTCACAGAAATGTAAATATTGCTCTACAAAATCTAGTATAGACCTGAATTTGTCTTTTCCTACTAAGAAGTAGTTCTGTTTAATGGAAAGATCTGCTATCTCTGGTATAAGATCCTGATTGCAAACTCCTGTAGGGGAGGTAGTAAAGCTGCAGTATGTAATAAGGAACCTTCATCCAGTTTACACTAAGGTTCTAATGACACCAGCTTCAAAGCAATGTTGTCATAGCATGTCTTCAGGATGCAGGAATCGTTACCAGGCTTTACCTGGTCTCATTGTGAAAACTTCATCTTGGGAATCTATCAGATGTATTTTTAGCACTGATAAATCAACCGCAAACTCAATTCCAGAACATACACCCCTGTTGAATGCTTTTCTCTGTGCTATGGTCTTTCACACCAAATTCATATGGAGTGGTGTCATCAGGCTCTGAGTAAAGAGGAAAGTGGAAAGAGCTCATAGATTAAATTTTAGATTAAATTTTACATTAAAACATGTATTAAGACATTATGCATTAATGACTATAGCTATCTGTACAGTCATTTTCTGAGTTTTAATATGCTCATCACTTATGGTAAAAAAAAATATATATTACAGGCTCCAACATATGAAGGGGATAGAATTTGTTAATGTAATTAATATTTCTACATATCAAGGCAAGGAATCAACCACCCCTATAGCTGAGAAAATCCATTAAAAAAAGGATGCACATAAAAATAAGCTGTTAGTTCAACTGGGGGTGTGATGGCTGCCCCGTGCAGCGAGTTCCAGAGCCGCGGGGCGACCGGAACCCGTCACGGAGCAGCTGCGCACCGGCTGGCACACCGCGGCTCCTGGCGTGACACCACAGCCAAGGCAAATAGCACTTTCCTTGGATGGGTAGGCAGGGGAATGTTGGGTTGGACTCTAGAGAGGATGGATGACAGCGGTAATTAGGACTCCTTGGGGAGGGCAGTGTTTGATTGCAACAAGGAAAGTTCCAACAAGGTGTTGATGAATCACAGTTTTAGAGAAGATGCAGAGTTATTATTTAAGGACTTGAAAAAATGCATTACATTGAAAGCCTCAGGAGTATAACCTAAGAAAAAGGATTAACGGTTATTTGAATAGAGCCGAGAACTATCTCTATATGGAACACAAATCATAAAACTTAGAAATCATCATAAATAATATAGCATCTGGAAAATAGAGAAGTAGAATAGGCAAAATGCAAAACTTCTTTTAATAACTGTAGCTGTTTTAACTGTAATTATCCTTTAGAACAACCTACTAACGTTTGTTCTAGACTTTCCATCACTGGAAAGATTTAAGTCCCACCTGTGTTTTGTGTTATGTACAAGGTTATATGGACTAAATGAGCATAGTGATCCCCTCTGGTTTCAAACCTGTTAATAAAAACAAATAGATCCTTCTCCAAAGTTGATTTCAGTCTTTACAAATCTACATATCCTTCACAAACCAAAAGTGAAGTCCACCATGGATGCAAAATTAAAGCAGGATTTAAAAATTTAAGTTATTTAAACATTTCAGAAGTGTGAATTAAGTGTCTGATTGTACATTTTCACAGGTACAGATTTTTAGATATATAATTTTCTCAGGAGAGAGCAAGAATTGGGCTTCAGAGAAGACAAGATACCTCCCCATCCCATCAGGCTTGCAGCCTTGAGACTAATTGTACACGACTCTGGTAGTGGCTGTTTTTCTTACCACATTGAAATGTTTCCATTTCAAACAGAATATTGCAGTGAGAGAGCCCCACAATCTTGCCGTGCAGCACGAGGGCTGTTTCACTTCTCTTTGACTCCAGCTAAGTAGACTGAATGAGCGGGTGTATTTAATCCATTTCAAACTTCCAAATGAAATATGTTTATTTGCTTCTTATACAGGCTAAGACATATTTCATTTAAAGATGAGTCTAATGGAAATATCAAGCGATTTGTCATTGGCTTCAGCGAAACCCAGTATTATACTTACCATACACACTGGAAGATAGGCTTTCTGAAAAGAGCATCCTGCAATCCCAATCATTTCATCATGTGAACATAATATACCTCCATATTATACACCTGCATGTTCTGAGAAAATTACATCTTAAAGGAAATTGGGCTTTTTGCTCCTATTTCTACTGTTGGAAGTCTTTCCCAGAATTTGAAATATTTTGTTTCTAAAACTTGAAATCATTATCTTCCTTTGTAACAACTGCTGCCACGTCAAAAAAAAAAAAAGTTTTGTGTTTGCTTTTATGGGTGGGTACACATTGTTTCCTTAAGATCATCCAATACAGTGAGCTACTCATCAGCAGTTTATTTTACTAAAATACTGCTTTTATCAGAATTAAAATAGATATTCTGGATAGCAAAGCAATTAATCCTTCCTCATCATTCTCATTAGGTTTCAAATCACCACTGAAACTTAAGCTGCTTTCACCTGTGAAACAACAAGCATCTGACCAATCAAATGAATTTCCACAGTAAACTTACCCAGTTTTTGCAAAAGTTGCCCAGTATCTCAACATGGACCGGCTTAAGATTTCTTCAGCCTTGGTGTAATTCACTCTTCGTTCTAAGGGCAATCCAAACACAAACTCAATCTCATAACCATGCATTACTCCCATCCACTCTGGCCAAGGGAGCTTTGAGGATCGATGTTCAAAGAAATAAAAGAATGCATTGTGTCCTAGTTGTGCAAATTTTTTGGTGAACTCCACTGCAGGACATATTATATTGTAGTCACCAATAACATCATCCATGGCATCACGGTAATGTTCTGGATTTTGCTCATTTTCCCAATCTGTGTACTGAAAAATGATTGATTCTATTCCAAGTTGGCTTGCTTCTGGGAAGGATAGAGTTAAAGCTGCTTCAAATTGTGTTTTATTGATCAGGCCATCACTATCCTTGCTGAAGCCAGGGACTCCATATGCTAGAAATGCTGATCCTTCATCTTTATTAACACCGACTAAGATCTGTGTTTGTTTGAAAAGGCCATTCTCAATCAACGTTTCTGGCATGTCTGAGAGAAAATCACCATCCACAGTTGGGCAAAAATATACTTTTAAAAGAGGGTCATATGTTACAACAAAAATTTCATTCTCCAATATATCCTTTGGGTCCTTGTCTTGGAGGCAGAGAATTAGCTCTGTCTCATTGCTGGTGGGACACTGGAGTTGTTTAGCTAAAGCCACTGTTCTGTTTCTGGCTTCAGATGCTGATATTGCAGCCCAAGGGGCATTTGCAGATCCACTTTGCATGATGGCTCTTGTGAACAGAGGATGGCTTTTAGGAGAAAGGATATGGTAGCTGACAGAAGCCGAGCCTGCGCTCTCCCCAAATATAGTCACACTTTTTGGATTACCTCCAAATGCTGCTATATTCTCCTGGACCCACTGAAGTGCCAATCTTTGATCAAATAAGCCTACATTTCCAGGAGCTTCCTGGTTTCCTGGCAAAGCCAAAAATCCTAATGCACCAGTCCTGTAGTTCATGGAAACTACAATGACTCTTTCTACCCTGGCCAGAAACTTGCCATCGTAGACTGGTAGGGAAGTCGACCCAGCCTCAAAGCCACCACCATATATCCACACCATGACAGTTGCATTCTTGGGTTTGGGAGAAGGAATCCATACATTAAGGTATAAGCAGTCTTCACTTAGGTTAGTTTTTGGATTCCACATCTCCGATCCAGGAAATCCTGGGTAAGTTGTATCTAGAAGCTGGTAACAGGAGTTTGCATGCTTTGTGGCATCCCAAACATCTGACCATTTCTCATGAGGTTCTGGTTTTTGAAATCTCAGTCTACCAATGGGTGGTTGTCCATATGGTATTCCAAGGAAGGTTGTCACGGTTCCTCCTAGTACCTGCAAGTTCACCCCTCTGACTCTACCTTTCTTGGTTGTGATGATATTGTCTTCAGGTACCACCTTCCTGATGAACATGTACAGGATAAGAAGCCACATAAGAAATCTGGTATAGAGACTCGTACTATTTGTCCAAATCATGATATCTGAAACACAGGGAAAAAAGAAATTCAGAATTAGTATTACAATGTACTAGAACCAGAGTCAAAGCAGTTTATTCAAAAAGAACGTAGGTCATCCCAAGGGCATTGAAAATACTATAGTGCTGCTGCACAAAGCTCAGAAATCTTTAAACATAAGTTCTTGTTAGTTAGTTGCGTTGCAAGGATTGTGTTTATTATTTAGTATTTGTTACAGTGCCTCAGAAAAACTCTATCATTAAAAAAGCATAGAACTGAGGAAGCCAGACGAGGGGAGGTAAAGCCATACAAGCAGACTCTGACTACTTCAGTTAGCAGATGACTTAACCACTTAAGTTTCCACTGGCACGCTGAACAGAACATTTTATGATCTGTGATGGAAAATGCCATGCCCAACTAGCTGTTATTCTGTTAGAGTTTACTTTGGCAATTTCAAAGTAATTTCAAATCAATGACCAGTGATAACATCACCAGGCACAGATTTTTCCACACATAAACATGTATCCCATGAACACTGAAAAAGAGCTTGAAGCCAAGCTTTAATCCAAGGATTTCCAGGTTCACATAAGTTTTGAACTATATGCTTACATCCCAGTAGATGCCTGGACAAAACCATTGCGATGTCTTTGCTATAAACTCAAAGCACTGGGTGATTTCACTGTCCTACTCATAGGTCTTAAGATCTGAAGGTGTTTTAGCAAGTGAAGTACATGAAGGACCTCTGAACTGACTGTCAGTTTGTCAGCTCCTGTGGGCAACTGCTTAAATAGGTACACCAAGACCTACATGAAACATTTCTTTCAAGATCTTTTTTCTCTAAAACCCCGTAACTAAGTCTATAACCACCATAGTCATAAGAAGTAGTCATATTTCTACTACTTAGTATTAACATTAAAATCCTAAAAAGCCAAGGATTTTTTAAATATATGTAGGTCATGTCTAATACTTTAAGTCTGACCTGGTCTTTGCTTCCTAAGAACATTTCAAAATGATGATTAATACTATCTTAAAGTTAAGCGTACAGGTGTTGATTATGTACCACATTTAAGGATACTAATAGTCCTATTTACCCCAACCTTTTCAAATGTTATAAAAAACCTGGTATCTTCCCCTTGAAAGTGAAAAGTCAGAAAAAGACTATTTGCGTAAACCCATTTCTGTAGCTTACATATTTGGAAATGCTCAACAAAGCTTCTTTCTTTTTTTGCTTGTTGCCCTGTCGTACATAGTGTACTGTGTCCTGCCACTTTAAACAAGACGTTCTTTGTTAATGAGAAGCATTTGTGTCCTTAAAAGGAATGAGGCTAATTTCTGTGGAAAACACAGCTGTGGCCTTATCTGAGCTCCTGCTCATTTGCGTATTCTTAGAAATTAACTAAGAAAACACAACGGGGAAAAAAGGAAGATTTTGAGCAAAGAGGTTCCTAACTTTGAGATAGCATCAAAGGAGCAGGGAAGAATCTTCAGACACAATATTTTTGGCATTCATCTAAACAGATAAAAAATAGATAAATTGTAGAAAACATAAACATTTATGCCTTAGTCTTTTTATTTAAAAAAAAAAAAAAAAAAAAAAGATGAAGTGGTGAATGGGGGGAAATAGACTTTAGAATTGGTCTAACACTCCACTTAACCTTCAGCTTGACTTGCAGAAACCTGCAAATGCCCCCGTGTATGCTAAACTTTAGAGATGTGAGTGTACAACTCGTGTGGTCCAGCAACTCCCGAGAAGTTCGAGTAATCAGAGGCTCCCCCTGGCAGCCTGCAGCTCCCGCATGGGAGGTTCACATCATTTAGTGGCATTTAGCTTCCCTCTCTATGTACCAGTCATTTTTTGTTCCAGTCATTGTTGTAATAAATTCTTGTAAGAGCTGGGTGAGATAAGGTATGTAAAGATTAGCTTAGGGCTAAACTCTTTCACCCTATCTCAGAGTCAACCAAGGCAACTGGGGTGGCTGTGAGAAATGTTAGTAGTAGGGCTTGAGTTGGGGATTTGTGCACCCAATGTACAGTACTGTGGGGTGGGAGAAGTAATTTGTGCAAGTCTGTTGTTTCACTGATACCATCTTTCTTCACATATTCAATTCTAACATATCACCCAGGACCAAACCACAGCAACAAGCTGGAAATAATGAGATTTCAAACATTGTCATTATGAAGAAGAGAAAAAGACACTAAGAAAAGCAAAAGACATTAAAGTTCCTAAAGCTTTCAATATCTAAATAGTAATTAAAATTAATTCCCTTATGCACTTTCCTGTTAATTAAAAAGGAATAGGATGGGAGGAAAACACTGCAAAACAGAGAGGCATAACTTTTGACCCTGAGAAATTTTAGACAAGAATTTTAAGAAGAAACAAAACTAACGAAAAATTCAGGTCTGTACATTTTTAATTAGCTCTGCAAAAGAACAGGTGGCATTTTAAAGAGAAAGATTGAAATAGATCAAGCTTGAAAAACATAAAAGTTTTGTACTACTGAATGAGAGGACTTGTCTCAAGTTACTCTGCTAATATTAACAGAAGTAGCAAGTGAGAGAGGATTATTATTATTACACCTTGAATGTATGGCAAATATTACATTTAATAAGGTTTTTAATGCTGCATTAAAACAAACTCAACAACGTAAAACATACTGAGCAAAACAAACATTAGTTGATTATTACTATGAGAGTAAAAGGGTCAGATTGCCTCAGCTCATCAACCTTAACTGAACAGAGATATATCGTATAATATATTTACATACTTTAAAAAGCTGCTTCTGTAGTAGTTTCCTCCAGCCAAAATTAAATAGACTATACTTTTGTATTCTTATTCAGCAAGGGAACACAATTTATTTCAATGACTATTTCCTCTCCTTGCAAATCTTTACCCAGCCAAAAAATCTATACACAAGACTATATAATCACTATTTAAATAGAAAAGATGGTTGAATTAATAAATGATTTCTAGCTCAGCTTAATTTACTTAGCCCAGGATCCCTCAAATAATGCCAAGGTCTGATACACACGCCTGCTTACTCGTTCCATTTGCAGAGCAGAGAGAGTTTTCCCAAGAGAGCAACAAATGGGCAGAGCATAACATTTTAAAAGATCACAATCCCCATGCAAATCAAGCTGAACTGTAAATTATCCTGGCAGAGAGAGACGGGTAAATAGAGAATCACTTACCCCACTTCTATTACAAGAACTACAAAGTTTTTAAGAGTCAGGATCTTTGAATACTTCAGGGAAAATGCTGTATGCAGCTGCTTCTTTAAGCCCGTAAATTGGACAGTACTGACATTATAATCAACTGTTTCTGACACAAAGCTCGCGAGAGTTGGCAGCAGCAACTTGATCTGCAGGCAGCCGTTCCTTACTATCTGACATCTGCTCAAAGGCTAATGGTATAGTTGTAGAAATGCTACAGAGAGAAACCCGTTTTGGAGAAAATCAGGCATGAGCTTTTTTTATAGGAAATGGAAGATGTGATTTGTTCTTAGCACGGGACAACAATCTTATAATCTAGAAAGATAAACAGAATTAGAAATATAATAAGATCCTGTTTCTTTTTCCTTCATCTTGTTTAGAGCACCAATCTCAAATTACTTTTTTTTTGCTGTTGTACAGCTCAAGATTAACACCATTTTAAAGTACCTCAAACTTTTATTCTCACTGTAAGATAAGTAGTTATTTTTGGTTTTAAGCAACTGTGGCAGATAAAAAAAGGAGTGTCCTCTGCACAGACATGTCAACAACTGGCAAGCATCAGTTGTATTCCTTGACTCATGGCCATCAGTAGGCTACGGCAGAAATCTGTGCTGTCCTCTTCTGATGCTAGTGTTAAAAATGGTACCCATATGGTGTCACATGCTGTTTTCTCTCTCTTCTTAAGCTTCAAATAGGAAATCACCCATGCTACTTAGTACATCTGATACCCTCCTTTTGCCTGAATCTCTTGAGCATTGTTTCCACCAGAATTCAGCACTGCAGGTGCAAAGCCAGTCTAAACAGCAAGTCAGAGTTATAGCACAGCTGGAGACATGTCCCACAATGCTGGGGGGGGGGTATTTAAATTACAAATATATCAATGTACAAATGAATGCATAATAGAGGAGTGGAGAAGATAAATAGATTACGTACACCCCCCCTTATAAAATGTCTTGTCAAACCCACATCCCTGAGCCACCATGTGAAATCAGAAGTCCACCCCTTGGTGGTGGGGCTGCTGCCCCGCAGCAGCATCTGCTTTCTAGCTCTGCTCTGAAAAAAGCAACTTTTCCACAGTTTAAGGTTTTCTTCTACCAAGAGCCTTTGCTTCCCCCGTTAGAGCTGAAGACAATTACTTTCCCTCTGTTTAATAATCAAACTACAGCTCTGTTTCAATTACACAAAAGCAATATTTGGCAATGCATAGAATAGGAATAAAGCAGAAATAAAAAGTTAAGTATGAAGTTTATAGACCTTAACATGGAGACTACAAATGATTTTTAAAAGCTAGCATGTGAAATAGTGGTTTAATAGAGAAAAAGTCAAGAAAGCATGGTCTTTTCATTTCTCCCAGTAATTTTACCATCTACCTTTAGGATCAGACATTCAGTAGGCATACTGCAGGTATAAGTCCATTGGAGAGAATATGCCCCAGTTTAAACCTAAGCCAGGTTATAAATCCCTAAGCTTTCACCACAGAAGTGTCCAATATAATTGGGAATTCAGAATTATTAGTCAAGATTGTTATCTCAGTAACATAAATAGAAATATTTAATAGCAAAATAGTATTAATTTGGAATCAACTCTAGTGGCAACTCTTGCTGATCAAAACTTTTTAAGTGCAGTTTCCTGTAGGAAACTCTAAGTTGTGCTCTTTAAATTAAGGCGGTTTTCAGTGTTCTCTGAGGTGCACATTCACTCACTTTCTCTAGTACCTCATCCACCCATTTGGAAATGTAGCCAGGTGACACACATTTGCTGTGACATCAGAGGAATGAATCATAAGCCCCAAATCTTGTTAGAGGCCACTTTTAAATAAGGTATTTCTGACGTTTATGACAAACCACTGTATTCTTGACCTTCATGACACTCTTGAGCAGTAGAGAAACAGCAGGAGACTCAAACACTAAAAATGTTGTTTCTGGCTTCATTTATTTTCCAACATTGGCCGTGTTGCCCTACACCTGCTGTCACCACCACTCCCTTCCCTCTCCTCACCCCTCTCTTCTCCCCTTTATAGTGCCCAAGGCACCTGAAACAGCCTCCTGCTCGGAGGCAGATACAGTTACTAAATGTAAAATGTGGAGCATTTCTATGGACTCTGAGAAAGTGACCCTGTGATAGCTGAATCAACTGCCTCCAGCTGTTTCTGGGTCAGCAGGAAAATTAGTTCACCCTTGGGATTACCTGGATGTCTTCAGGGAAAGGAGGGCATTAAGACAGACTAGACTGTTACACTTCTAGACTATTATACTTTAGTCTAATGTCAGACCATTATGCTGTACATTTTAAAAAAACTAAGCCCTCTTCTATATTTTTTCCTTTAATTAAAAAATTAACATATAAATTAAAATTTCACAACTGTGTGCTGTGAGAGGAAACACTTATTTTAGTTATTACTTAGCTTAGGAAAAATACCTGAGTGAAAATTAGAGATTAAATACAGTTAATACTTTTAGTAATTCTGTGTAGAGTGGTCATTTTCTCAGTTACCCTTTGGGAGCTTGAAATGAAAGGAGGTACAAACCAGCAGGTAGAACATCATACAGATATATATGTGTGTGTATATACAAGAGCTGTTATACACACATGCATATATATGTATGTACATATACTAGTACTTTTAAATATTACTATGCATCTATCTACTTATCTATAATGCTGGAGTTTTCTGAGGTTATGTAAATTTAAATTTAAATTTAAGGTAAGATTCTTAAAAATCAGCATCAAAGATAACCATGTCTTTTCATTATTTAATGTGTGCATATGAAATATGTGTTACACTGACATAGGAATTCTGATACGACAGAGGTCCAAGTCTCTTAAGAAATTAAAATAAAGGCCAGCTCTAAGAAAGATTGACATTTCATAGGCTAAGAATCTCAGAGAATTTAAACAATATGTATTATAGAAATATCAAACACTTTTGTTATGATTTAGTTCATTATTGAACTGCCCTTCAGGATATTACCTAATCATATGCAGATGTTTACACTCAGAATATCCTAGATTATGCACGTTCTGGGTTATCTTCAGAATTTACCTAATAGATCTGAGAAACCTATGAGAGATAAAACCATTTGGAAAAAGATGTATGTCATATATTTCTAGTGAAAAACACGTGATTCTCTCCCAAAGTGTCCTCTGAGCTTTCAAAGTCCACTTGTACATGACAAGTTTCATTCACCATATTTGATCCTGCCTTTCCAAGCCATCTACAGCCTCAGAAAGAGCACCTGAGCTCCTTTAAGGATAACTGGGCTGAAAAACTTTATAAATGTCACTTCAAAGTAAAGGATATCACATAAGACGTGTGTGCATATATGAGGAAATATTTACATGCTAATAGTATGTAAAAGTAGGAAACATTCTTACTTTTTTTAATCACTGAGAGGGAAATCAAAAGGTAAATTATAGCTAAACTATATGAAATGTTATTTGTATGAAAATGTGGGGAGGTTTTCTTTAAACTCCAGCCTTGGTAAGGTCCCTCGGGGAGGCTCAGCCACCTCTGATCCCTGGCTGAGTTTTCACGCTGAGCATCTGTGTGACCTTGGCTCGAACCTCTGAGAAAACCGCTATGTTGTGAGAAAAAGCTGTGAGGAAAACAAGTAAACTCAAGCTGTACAAGTTACGAAAGGTGAAATTGCTGACAGGGGTAAGATTGCCGAGATGGGAACAGTTAGCAGCTCAAGGACTCAGAGGGAAAAACACCAAAGCTGCAAGCTGTGAAATCTTCAGGTAAAAACCACAGAAGATGGGAACTCAGCAGCAGCAAAGAACTACCGATGTTCAGCTTCGGGGCTTGCATTCACGTCATTCTACTGTGCATATTAGAAAATAAATCATTGCCTTATAAATTGAGTATACTCTGCTTACAGAGCATCTTTCCATGTCCAAATACAGTGACCCTGAAAGGTAATACCTTTCTTCCTTCTATATTTCTTTTGCAAATCTCATATTTGTTGCTGCACGTAACACCTGTGTATACCCATGAATGTAAAACAGGGACGCCCTAAATGAACCTAGAGAAAGCTGAAGTGTTGCTACAGGTGACTGGAGCTGGTAGTCAGACCTGTCTGAAATTCCGTTCTTATTCTGGTTATTCGAAAAAGCCTCACTCTAGAGGAGCTTCCGGGACTAGCTGAATTTCCCAACAATAGATCTGAAGGGTAATTTGATAATATTAGGAAAAGTGTCTCCTATACATGCCATGAAAATGGATGCCAATTTATTAAGTATACAGAAGACACTAACACTCATCTAAGCCATTAAGCATGATTATATTTTCCTCTTATTGGTTCAATTATGATCTGTTGCACCTTTTTCCTGATTACTCTAATTATAGGTTGGTATAATTTCCTCTTTATTAGCACAGTTATGGTCTGTACTTTTATAAAATTTTTTGAGAAATCAAAGCCAATAAGATAATATAGCTAGTTAAAAGATAAAGCTATTATTATTATTATTATTATTTCATTTGAATGTTCACTTACTCTTAATTCCTTATGCTTCTCTTATATAATTCAGTATTTTGTCTCATATAGGGATAAGATTCAATAAAGAAAAAATTATTAATGTATACACAGTTTTTCTTGCATTATGTTATTATAGTCTGCTGTTTAGCTTGTAAAAAAACAGGTAAAATTGGAGTGTCAGAAAAGCACTGAAATCTTGTGTAAGCATGATAAAGCTAATTAAATTATAAGTTATAGGTTTCACAGATTTTTGCAGAAGATTCATTAATTGACAATATAACTGTTTTCCATTTCTGTTTCCTTCTTCTTTCTTATGAATAGTAAAGCTTTAATTGTTTAAAATTATGTAAAGATATCTGAATAACTAAGCTTGGCTGCTGGTAATCACCTACTGACAGCAGTGTGAAGTTCACAACAGTAATACATCCTCTCATATTCAAACTCTCTGAATAACTAAGAATTTTGACAGGTAAATGAGCTATCTGTTAAGTAGAATTTGTATTTGGAAGGTGGGAACTCTTCCAAATTCCCAGTTCTCCCAATTCTCCCTCTTTATTTTAGGCCTTATCACTAACATTATCCCTCATCTTTCAGTTTCTGCATCCACAAGAGAGGTAGGCATCAGTCAAGAAAAATG